AGAATATTTTTAAACAAGATAATGTATATGCTAATTAGCTTGATGTAGTCCCTCTGCAGTATGTTGTTTACTTTGAAATATGAAGTAGTACACAGTAAAGACATGAAATTTTTGTCGATTTAAAAATTAAATTAAAAATCAGCCTGTGAGATGGTCCATAAATGGGCGAAACACTATAGTGTTCAAGAAAATGAAAGAAAGTCGAAGAGTCTATTGAATTTGACAGGGCAATGGGAACAGGATGTGGCTGCGATGAGCCCAGGTCACCAGGCCACAAGGAGACATAAGGTCTGGTTCTGTCTCAAGTGAGGCTGTGTGAGGCCTCAGGAAGAGGACTGAGCCTGGAAGTAAAAACATAGTAAAAAGCTTCTGATAAAATTGGAAAATTGTGGGGCCGGGAGTGGTGGTACATGCCTTTAATCCAGCACTTAGGAGGCAGAGGCAGGCAGATCTCTGTGAGTTCGAGGCCAGCCTGGTCTACATAGTAAGTTCCAGGTCATCTGGGGCTACAGGGAGACCCTGTCTCAAAAAGACCAAAAAGAAAAATTGAAAATTGTGGCTGGTGTGCTGGCCTACGCCTTTAATCCCAGCATCCCAGCACTCGGGAGGCAGAGGCAGGCGGATCTCTGTGAGTTCAAGGCCAGCCTGGTCTACATAGCGAGCTCCAGGCTAGCTGGAGGTACAGGGAGACCCTATTCAAAATTTTTTTAAAAAAAGAAAATTGTGGAAAGTTAAAGAATGATGCTTCTCTTTCTGCACGGTGCCAATGGGAGGGGAGGAGTGGACAGGGGAGCTGCCTGGGGAAGAAAAAAAAAAGACTAGTGAGAGGTGGTGGAGCTGTGGAAAGTAAAGGCCTGCTGGGAGGAAGTGGGGTCACCCAGGGTAGGTCCTTAGAGACTCTAAGTTCCCTGACCTTTTTCTGTTGTGGCTCCCCTCTGCTTCCTGCCTACATGACCGAGAGCTACTCTCCCACATCCTCCCTGCCATGATGAATTAAGCAAAATTAATCTCTCCTGCCTTAGTTGTTTCTGTCAGGTGTTCTGTCACAGCAACAAATCTGACTAATACACTGACTGTTGTAGCCAGCTGAAAAGCAAACATTTTCCAGTCTTACACCTTCTGAGCACCCCTTCCACACCAAAGCCTGGAATATTTGTGCTTGAAATTCCTTATCACCAACAGAAAATGGGTCAATGTCTATTCTTGGTTTCTGTTAGCAGCTGACATCACCACTATCAAAAACCCATGAAGTACCATAGTCCAGGGGTTGCCAGGGAGGGGCAGCTGGGAGGGAAGTTGGCACAAGTTTATACAGAGAAAGAGAAAGACCTGAAGTTAGAAATTGTGATGCACACCTTTAAAGTTGTGGGGGGTGTTATTCTTATTTTATGTGGATGGTGTATAGTTTGCATATATGTAAAATGCACCTGTATAGTACACTGCCTACAGAGGTCAGAAGAGGGTGTCAGATCCCCTGGAACTGGAGTTAAGGACAGTACTTAGCTGCCACGGGGGTGCTGGGAATTGAACCCGGGTCCTCTGCAAGAGCAGCCAGTGAGCACTCTTCACCACCGAGCCATCTCTCAGCCCCATGATGTACACCTTTAATCTCCATCTTGGGAATCAGAAGCAGGTGTCTATGAGTTCCAGGCTAGCCTGGCCTAAATATTAAATTCTAGACCATCTATGGCTACACAGTGAGACCTTGTCTTAAAAAAACAATAAAAATAAGAAACCTTGGGAAGAACTTAGTGAGGGCTCCACAGGACCTGCTGTCATTGTACATAAAAAGACACAGAAATATGAACTCTTGTGTTCCACCTTTGAAGACTGTCAAGGCCCTGTTAACGGAGGTCTGGAATTGAGAGACAAATCTCATAGGTTCAGCCTTAGTCACTATAGATGTGAATCATCTTTACAGACACCATGTCCCAAAGACACCTGATCCCCATGTCCATCACATGCAGGTACATACATGTAGGTAAGAGATAGAATCAACTCATATGTCAGTCAGTGGATGAATAGATAAAGAAAATGTGGTACACAGTCACATTAAAAATCTTCTCATCCTTAAGAGAGGAAATACTACCATTGGTGGCAATCTGAATGAATCTGGAGGGTATTGTGTTATGTAAACTAAGGCAGGCACAGGAGGACAGACTGCATGATCTCACTCAGGTAGAATCTAAGCGCATTCATGTCACAGAAATTGAGAGGAAGACTGGTTACTAAAAGGCTGGGGAGAAGGTGGATGGTCAAAGAGAAGATGCTGATCAAAGGTACAAAATTCCAGTTAGACAGGAGGATACATTCCAGAGCTCTGCTGTGCATTGCAGTAACACAGATTGTTCTTTCAAAATTCCAGTAAAAGGCTAGAGAGATGACTCAGCTGATAAGCGCACTGGCTGTTCTTGCAGAGGACCTGGGTTTGATTCCCAGCACCCACATGGCAGCTAACAACCATCTGTAACTCCAGTTCCAGGGGATCTGACCTCCGCAGGCATTGCATGACACAGGTGCACTTATATACATGCAGGCAATACACTCATACACATAAAATAATAAATAAAATATTTTAAAACCACAAAATTCCCATGAAGATAGACAGGCAGTGTTCTCACCACTAAAACTGATGGGTGTTAAGAGGTGATGGATGTGCAACTGAGTCTAATTTAATCATTGCATGATGCAGACATATATCAAACATGTTGTAGCCAATGAATATATATCGCTGGTATTTGTCAACTAAAACAACATTTAAATAAGAGAAAGAAAGACAGATGAAGACAGGGAGAGACCTGCTGAAGGCTACACATTTGGGGGTGTTTGTGATTATTTCAGGGAAGAGTCTAGGGCCTCCCTCCAGGCCTTACGGAGTGTACATTCCCCACATGCTCCCAGCCAAGGCTGCTCGTTGTTGAAGAAACAACCCAGAAGATGTGACTCACCTTCCTCCGTGTGGACCGTCCGTCCCAAGCACAGCACTGGAAGAGAAGACCAGTGAGAAAATCTCCCTCTACATGGCTTTATTTGAGAGCTAAATCTAGAAAGGTCTGGATGGGGGTGCACACATGCAGCCTCCTATGATTACCCAGCCAACCCTGCCCCACAGTAGTGTCTGAGTATTACCCTCCTTCTCGCTCTGAAATAATCCTAGAATATCCTCAAGGCCAGATATGGTCACACAGACCTGTAAACCCAGCTACTTAGGAGGATCACAAGTTCAAGTCCTGACTGGACTACAAAGTGATTTCAAAGTCAGATGTTCAAACATCTTAGTGAGACCCTGTCTCAAAATAAAAAGAAAGCTAATAGGCAAGAAGCAGTGGTAAGAGCTAGGGAACTATAGGCAGCTGGTAGCTGCTAGAGCAGAATAGTAAGGTATGAAGATCTGACGCTGGGTGGTTGATCACACTCCAGGGGATGGACCCCATGCCCAAGAGCATTTGGGAAACATAAATTAGAATTGATAGGCCTTAAAAATAATAGAGGACATGAAGTGATCAGGAAAGGGAGGTGGCAGTGGATCTCAGAGGAGATGGGGAGGGGAATCTGAATATATTCAAAATGAAGTGTATGAAATTCTCAAAGAATCAATGAAGCTGTTATTTTTTTAAAAGAGGGATGGGAATATAGCTCAATGGTAGAGTACTTGCCTAGCATGCATCAGGACCCAAGTTCAGTCTCTTAATACTAAGAAAAACAAGTGCTCCCAACACATCTCCCCTTCCAAATAGGCTCTCCCTAGTGCTCCCTAAAGCTGAACTTGTCCTCATACTCCATCCCTCTTCCTGGCACTGAATCCACAGGGGTAGCCTCCAAGTAGGGGACAGGGTATGGGGGTGCTCCTCCAAGGGGCCCCACCTCGGCTGGTGTCAGACCTGAGTAGAGAATAGACTCCCTTCCCTAATCACCTCTCCTATTCCTCAAGTTTCCAAGACTCACCGAGGACCAGCAGGGTGGTAGGATGAAGCAACATTGCTCAGAGCCAGCAGCCTGGACAGGTCTGGAGCTGAAGCCCTGCCGTAGACACAAGGAACAGGATGTGTAGACTGGAACTGATCACGGGTTACTACATCAGCCGCCTCGCACAAAGAGGAAGAGCTTTCTTTCCTCTCCCTTCCACTCTTCCCACCAGAGTCTTGGAGGGAAGGTCTTAGCTTCCCCCCAAAATGTGCCAGATCCCATGAGCTCAGGTGCAGCTGGGCTCATGCCCTGACATGTTCACCTTCCTCTTAGTCTGTGGGCCATAGAATAAAATTGTGCACATCAGTCCTCAGTCTACAAAGTAATGGTCATCTTTGAGTAAGGCGTTACAAAACACTCAAAGCCCACATTTCCTCATGTTGAAAATGAAAATCATAAAATCTCCCCAAGTATTCAATGTTATGATCTTCATAAAATACAAACCAGATATTTCACACATTGAAAATGCCCTGCCACAAATAACGATTTTTACCTCTTTTGTAGCTCTCCTGGTTTGTTTCTATATTGTTGTGACAAATTACTGTAACCAAAAGCAACTTGTCGTGAGGGTGGGAAAGGATTTATTTGGGTCACAGGATATAGTTGGTCACTGAAGGGCGCCAAAGCAGGAACTCAAGGAAAGAACCTGGAGGCAGGAACTGAAGCAGAGACCATGGAGGAATGCTGCTTTCTGTTTGCTTCCCTGGCTTGTTCAGTCTGCTTTCTTATACAGCCCAGGTCCACCTGCCCAGGGATGGCACTGCCCCACAGTATGCTGAATCCACCTACATCAATTAGCAATCAAGAAACATGGCCACAGGGCAGTCTGATCTGGGAAATTCTTCCGTTGAGGTTCACCCTTATTTAGTTTTTTTTTTTAAAAAATGTGTGTGTTTTGCCTGCATGCATGTAAGTGCACCTGTGTCATACAATGCCCCTGGAGGCCAGAAGAGGGCATCAGATCCCTGGAACTGGAGTTTTGGACAGTTGTTAATTGCTATATGGGTGCTGGGAATCAAAGTCGGGTCCTCTGCAAGAGCAGTCAGTTTTCTGAAGCATCTCTCTGGTCCTTGAGATTTTCTCTTCCCACATGACTCTAGGTTCATGTCAAGTCAACAACTGAAGCTACCTATGATAATCACATTTTTTGTTCAGTCAGCTAGTTTGTTGTATGTCTGTGGGGGGCTGCATGTGTGCCACAGTGCATGTGGAGGTCAGAGGAGCTTGTGTGGGAGTCAATGCTCTCCTTCCTCCATGTGGGCCCCAGGCTTGGTGCCAACCACCTTTACTGCTGAGCCTTGTCACCTGGATAATGCTTTTTTATATATATTTTATATGTTTTATTATTTTTATTTTATGTGTATGAGTGTATTGCCTGCATGTAGGTGAGTGCACCTGTCTCATGCAGTGCCATGGAGATCAGAAGAGGGCTTCGGATTCCCTTGGAACTGGAGTTAAGGACAGTTTGTAGCCACCATGTAGGTGCTGGGAATCGAACCTGGGTCCTCTGCAAGAGCAGTCAGTGCTCTTAACCGCTGAGTCTTCTCTCAGCCCCCTGGATAATGCTTTTTAAAAGACAACAAATGTGAGGATGTGCAAAAATTGTTTCCTTTTCATACTGTTAGTAAGAAGCCAGGGCCTGGACTGTCCCAGGGAATGCTTCATCTGAGTAGATGGGTCAGAAACACTTTGGGGAAGCAGCAGCCCTCCCTTCTTGTCATTAGTAGAAAGTGGGGAAAGGAGAGGAGAGAGAGAGAGCCCTTCCTCTTTGAGTGGGGCACCATGGAAACAAACCACTGTAAGACCCAGCAATACCCGTTCAGGTATATGTGTAAAGGGGGTGAAATGAAAATGCAAAAGAGATGCTGACACTCCCGAGATCATTGCAGTACTGTTCGCGGTAGCTAAGATCTAGAAACAATCCAAATAGCCATTAACTGATAAATGGTGCAGAAAATGTGGTTCCATACACACAGTGGGAAAAAGGGGGATAATGATGCGTGTGTGAAAATCCAGTCCTTGAAGACATTCTTCTAAACTAAACAGACAAGATCCTGAAGAACAAGTGTTGTATTATCCCCTTTATGAGGTATGTAAAGTAATCAAATCCACACTGGGTGTGCTGGCTCATGCCTGTAATGCAAGCCCGTGGGAGTGAGTTCAGGGCCAGCCTGGGCTATAGAGCAAGACCTGTCTCAAAAAATACAGACTAGGGAGCTGGAAATATGGCTCAGTGGTTAAGAACACTGGTTGTTCTTGCAGAAGACCCGGGTTCAAATCCCAGCACCCACATGGCAGCTAACAGCTGTCCTAACTCCAGTTCCAGGGGATCCAACAGCCTCTTCTGTCCTCCGTGGGCATTGCATGACATGGGTGCACTTACCTATACACAGGCAATACATGCATACACATAAAATAAAATAATAATTTTTTTTAGTGCACTTACCTACACACAGGCAATACATGCATACACATAAAATAAAATAATAATTTTTTTTAAATACAGAATAAGTCACAAGTCAAGTTCACAAAGGCAAAGCCTGGCATGTTGGCTCCAAGGGGCTGGAAGAGGGGGAAAATGGGGAAGCTATTTGTCAATGGGCAAAAATGCTTAGTAAATAACATGAATAGTTAGACAACATAAATTACAGTCAATGATACTGTACAGTTAAAACGTTAAGAGGCTTCGTGTTAAGTGTGAGATATTACATGTATGTGTAAAATAAATCCTATATTCTTTTCTTTAAAAGATTCATTTCACCTAGGTGTAGTGGCACACATCTTTAATCCCAGCCCTCAGGAGGCAGAGTCAGGTAGATCTCTGTGAAACTGAGGCCAGCCCAGTCTACATAACACGTTCTAAGACAGCTGGGGCTACAGGAAGACATTGTTGCAAGAAAAAAATCAATTTTATTTTTAATTACATATGTGCATGTGTGTCTGTGTACAGGTTTGTGATGCATGCAGTACCCACAGAGCCCAGAAGACTGTGTTGGAACCCTGGGAGCTGGTATTGCAGAGACCTTGAGCCACCGGACATGGGTGCTGGGAACTGGGCCTGGGTCCTCTAGAAGGGCAAGAAGTGCTAACCACTGAGCCATCTCTCCAGCCCTCTCCCAATATTCTTGCAGTGCCATTGGACCCAGGGTAGGACAGAGCAGCATATGCAAACCACCAAAATGATTGAATAGTCTGGTGACAGATCTTGAGACATGCCCTAGTGTTTGAGGATAGATAGATGCCTGGCTGGGCACCAGAATAAGGATCAATACCTGGAACAGGCAGTACGTCGGCACAGCACACTCTCGGGGTCTTAGGTCTCTCATCTGAGGATGGGTACAGTGAAGTCTCCCAGTCTTGACTCCAGCCAACACTGAAGATGGCTGACCCTACAGGTGGTACTCAGCTGTCCTCATAAGGGAAACTAGCTCTGTGTAAGAAGCTGTGTCCCAAGCCTGGGGGGTTGGAGAAAGAGGAAATTAAGTTTGCACTAAAACAATTTTAGCAATCCAGCATGTAGCTCATGCAGACTTTGAACTTGCAATCTTCCTACCTCAGCCTCCCGAACAGCTAGAATTATAGGTCTGTGTGACCAAGAGCAGTTTGTCCAAAGCGGCACAAATGACCAGGTATGACCAGTGATGCATAAAGCAGAATATCCCAGACCATCTAGGATTCAACACTCTCTGTAACAGAGAGTTTCATAAGGAGAACTCTGCCTTCTTTACTCCTCTCCTCCACTGCAACTGTATCATCACATGGTGATATACGGAGCTGCAACAGCCATTGTGTAACAAGATGGACCATGACAATCAAAATACCAAGCAGACTGCGGTAGAAAAGCCTAAGAGCCAGGGTCCCCAGACCCAGGACTGTCCTCCATCTCTGAATCTCTGAGATGCCTTTTTCTTCTTCTTCTTCTCTCTCTCTCTCTCTCTCTACACCATCAGGCCTGGCTCCATTCCAGAAACTCCTAAATAAGTAAATTACAAATGTCCTAGATTTTCTGTCAATGTGCCAGAGTCAGATTAAGATCATAGAGCAAACCTTAATCCTAAAAAATAATAATATACTGCTGACACAAAAGCGTGACTCTCATTTCAAAGGGGATAAGAGATAGATTATTCTGGAGCCAAATATGAGTGACCATAACCTGCAAACACAGACTCAGGGTACCCCAAATTTCATGTTCCAACGTGGTAACAATTTCACGAAGTTTTTACAGCAACAGAAAAAAGAAAAGACATAAATCAAGACACTTTCAAATACATTGACAGAAACATTAAGTAGGCAGATACAGCAAAAGAGAAATCCCAGCTATAAGCATCAGATGCTATCTGATGACATTCAGTCTTGTTTGGTGGAAGCTGGTGGTCTGCTAAATGAACACATTCCAAAAGGGTTTATCTGTTAATTACAGGATGCTAAGTCAGAAACGAAGGTAGGCAAGGAGTGGCTATTTAGGGGACTAAAGAAGGCCCAAGATAAACAGTAATAAGACTCTGGACATTCCAAACTCTCCACAATCCCTGATGTTCTAATCAATTACTCAGGCTTTGTAGAATGTTCAGTTTCAAGACGCAGTTTTCCTGGGAACTTCATTCACAATACCAACTAAAACTGCTCAGCAACATTTTTAATTGTTACAATTCTCAAAGAAATGGAAACTTGGAATGTAGCTCAGGGGCAGAGTGCCTCCCTAGAGTCCACCAGTGAGGGTCTAGGGGTGTGGTTCTGTTGTAGAGCACTGGCCTAGATTCCCCCAGTGCGGGACTTGGGGATGCGGCTCAGGGATAAACCATTTGCCTAGAATCTTCCATTGAGGCGCTGGGGTATGGCTCAGTGGTACAGCACCTGCCTAGACTCCACCAGTGAGGGGCTGGGGGTGTGGCTCAATGATAGAGTGCTTACCTAGAATGTACCCTGGGTTCAATCCCCAATACCACATAAAACATGACATCATTGAGCATGGTGGTGCACACCTGTAATTTCAGCACTCGGGAGGTGGAGACAGGAGGATCAGGAGCTCAAGGACTTCCTCAGCTACATAACAAGTTTGAGATCAGCATTGCTTTATGAGAAGTTCT